AGAGAGAGAGAGAAGTGTCTTCCACCTCCAAGGAGGAAGTCACAGATTTCCCAGAATTCTCAGGGGAAGGTCATGCCCACACAGAAGTCTCATTGGCTATCTCCAGATTGACAGCCTATACCCCACCCCTCCACTCTTAATCCTTAAATTGACACCAGATGAAGTGACTACCACGCTTGCATTGGAAGCAGGGCACACCTCTGAGGACAGCTCATCGTGGAGGATGAGCAGGTTTTATTTGTTAAACCTGGCCCTGCAAAATTGACATGAAACATTAACTATCCCAACTATGGACTTTCAGAAGAACACATACATCCTTCTTGAAGGAAGTACAGCCTCGTGTTCCTTAGAAGGGAGTGTGGCTAGACTTCTTCAGGACGGCTCAGGACGAATCAGTGAATTGTTCTGTGGTACAGAGAATTGATAACGAGCAACATTTCAGAGCAACCACAGTGATGACAGAGGAGAGAATAAAGGCAGAATGGCACTGTCATTCTGTGACAGTTGGAGATAGCTATCTATCTCAAATGATTTACATCAAGGAGATATATAAATGTTGGAATGAAGGTTCTAACAACTGTTTACACAGGACAATGGTCGGCAGACTCCTGGAGATCCTGAGAACCCTTCGAGGGTCATCATGTCAAAACTATTGCCATGGTAACACTAAAGAGATATTTGCCTTTGTAAGCATTTTGCCATTTACACAGATGGTTGAAGAATAATTTGGAGAATATTTCTGGTACCTCAAGGCAATTGTACCAAACAGAACTAGTAGCAAATCTTGATTGCTTTAGAATCACCATATAATCCCCATAAATTGCCATTTTGATTTCCTGATGCTTTGGTTAAGAAGCAGTAGTTAATTTAATCAAATACGAACACATATATAAACTCCAAGTATACATAAAGTACTGTTATATACCAAAGTGTGGTGGTTGCCTTAGGAAAGGAGCTTGTGCTGTTATTTAAGTTGCAAACTGAGCAGCTGTTTATTTTTTAACATGAAATAAAGATCGTCATGAAACATTTTTAACATAAAATAAAGACAAACTATCATTAGTTAGAGTTGATATCTTGTAGACTTTTTAAATGCACAAAATCAGCCTATCATTTTAAGTAAAATAACTGACAGTATTTGTTATTGCTGATAAAATTTAAAATTTGAAATGAAAATTAGAATTTTAGAGAGCTTTTATGTACCACAGTAAGCTTGAAAATTTCTCATTGCCTAAGGGATTTTTTTTCCTGATAAAATTAATGTTGATAGTAATGAATGTGGTTTTAAAAATACATTCTGTATTAAGCATGTCAGTGTTTGGAAGATTTGCATAATTTAGTGAACTAATATTTTCCAAATGACTTATAATTCGATGTTACTAAATTATGTACTGAGCTTGTTTTAAGGGTCATACAGTTAACACGAGTAATGTAATAAATGCCATTGAATTGTTTATAGTGCAAGTATATTTATTAAACACGGACTTTTAACACTCAGGAGAAAGATGGGGTTTTCTACTTCCATAAAGAGCTACCATCTCAGAAACCCACAGGGGGTCACTATGAGTCAGCATTGACCCGATGGCAGTGATTTAGTGGTTTAATGCATCAAGTGTATAATAGTTGCTTAATAAGTGTAAACCAAATAGAAGGGCAAGGAGCTATTTGGAGAAAATGCCCTAGCAGGAGGCTTTCACTAAGGTACAATGACAGATACAGTGGAGTCAGGGAATGGACTAAGAGAAGTAAATTGGTAGGATTTATAGTTAGGAAGCATTCGTTGCATTTTTAAAATAATTCCAACAGTAAAGAATTGAGCTAGGAATTTATGAATCCCTGAATCACACGCTACTTTTCTACTCTTCCAGTTGCTTAATGGGGTATGTCAACAATAGCCTGTCCTTCTTTGATCTGAGTGAACTTGGCCTTGGAAAATCTGGTTACTGCAGGTACTAACTTACAAGTTGTAGTTATCTGTTTGCTTTCACCATTTCACCTCCCCTCCTTTACTCGTGTAAACAATCACTTTGGTAGTCTCACATGCTAAGAACATGTTTAGTGCCTATGCTCTGTCCTCTGTCTTTCATGCTCTTTCATTTTGTGGCTTTCAGGTATCGAGACTACAGAGGACCCCCTTGGGGTTCCAAACCCTATGAGTTCACCTTACAATACTGGCATATTCTTGCTGCCCGACTGGCCTTCATCATCGTGTTTGAGGTGAGTCACAGACTTCAAAGAAAATGACTGTAGGTAAATGTTTCCCAACTGAGGTTTCAGTTGTCTCCTTGAAAGTAGTTTCTCTGTAACTTCCAAAAAAAAAAGATTGAATGTTTCTCAGTGAAGCCATTATGATAAAGGAAAAAAAAAAGCGAGTGGGATAATGTGAGTATTGGTATCGGAAACCTACCATGCGGTTTTGAACTGAAGTTTTGAACTGAAAACTTAGGAATTGAGATGACTGGGCAAAAACCGGTCTGGTTTTGGTTTAGTCACCAAGATTTAAAAGAAAAAGAAGCGGTTACATATTGTCTTCCTCTGTTAAAAGGCCGTATACCAATCTGTCAGGAGAAGCTTGTATTTTGAACAATCTACTTGAACAGCAATTGATCACATGAGTATTTGTATAAAGGACATTGGATGAATCTATAAATGGTGCCTGGAAACATGTTTGTAAAAAAATACAAAAATTTTGATTGCCAGAATCATGTGATATTAGATTGAAGTGCTGGGAAAAAAATTGGGGAAAGTTACAGTATTACTGTTCTGATTATGAGCTAACTCATAGACATTAAAGTACTCACCAGAGAATATATTGAGTATCTGCTCTCTGAAGGAGTACAAAGACCTATGTGAATACTTTGACTCTATGCATTTCCTCTAGCCAAATTATAGGGAGGAAAATATGACCACTGTGAACACTTTAGAGACAAGTCTTATTAAAGGCACCTATGTCTTTCAGAGGAGCCCTGGTGGTATAGTGGTTGAGAATTGGGCTGCCATCCACAAGGTTCACAGTTTGAAACCACCAGTAGCTCCACGTCAGCAAGACAGGGCTTTGACGCCCATAAACAGTTGTAGCCTTGGATACTCACAGGGGCAGTTCTACCATGCCCCATTGAGTCCCTGGGGTCAGGACTGACTTGACGGCAATGATTTCAGTTTCATAAGAAGAGTTTTAGTCACAGAAACGCACATGGCAAGTCTACCTTGCCCCCAGAGAATCGCCATGAGTCCGAATCAACTCGATGGAATTGACTAGATGAGTTTTGGTGATGGCACTGAGTTTGGGCAGGTCTCTCAAAAAGAGCCGTGAGGATATAGTGGGTTATGCATTGGGCTCCTAACTACATGATCAGCAGTTTGAAACCACCAGCTGCTCCGAGAGAAAGAGGAAGCTTTCTACCCCTGTAAAGAATTGCAGGCCTGGAAGTACCACAAGGCTAGTTCTACCCTATCTTGCTTGAGTCAAAATTGACTTGACGAAGTGCTGAGCGTTGGACTGAACTACTCAGAACCACCAGCAGCCCATGGTAGAAGGCCAGGGTTTTCGGCTTCCCTACATAGTTCCAGTCTCAGTAACGCACAGGGGTCGCTGGGTCAGCATCGTCTCAACGGCAGTGAGTGAGAAGAGTTTATGTGAGAGTTATGTTTCTCAACTCCCTGCCATAGAGTCCGTTTTGATTCACAGTAACCTTATAATTCAGGCTAGAACTGCCCCTGTGGGTTTGCAAGACTAGCTCATTACTGGAGTAGAAAGCTGTCTTTCTGCAGCAGAGAATTTGGTGGTTTTGAACTACTGACCCTATTGTTAGAAGTCCAGGCGAAACTCGTACACCACCAGGGCTCCTGTCTTTCTCTCAACAGATCTCCAAAATTGTCTAGTGAAATGTTCCTCATATGTAAAATTAAGTACTGAACTCTAAACACTTCATGAAGATATATAAAGATTCCTCCTGATAAAATGACACTTATTACATTCTGACAGGCAAGTTAAGCACTTTTTCTTAAAGATATATGATTTAGGAAAATACTTGTTTAATGCATGTGTTTTTATATGCACTTGTTTTTAGTCTTCTTCAGATTTCCATTAGGAGTATTGTGCAGTAAATTCATTTTATATCTCCTATATTTTACTATTTTTAGTTCTAGAGAGAGATCCAGGAATCTACCCATTTGTAAATTTCTTCTGCCAACTGTATGATTTTCATTGAATTTAAACACCATATTCCCCTATGAATCAGTACTTAGACTTAAATCAACTCTTGTACTATGAGTAAAATGCTGATCACAACCTTGAAATGTGTTACTTCATGAACATTTCTCACAGGTATATAACCAGATGTAAAATCACTCATTTAGGTGAACATACAGTTATTGCTTTCAAAAATTGATGCATTCATAACAGTGGATGAGGATTTCAATCCCTTTACATGTTCACCAGCTTTTCAAATTATTTAACTTTCCAATATTTTTCAGTTGTATTAGAGAGAAATATTACTTGAAATTTTTTCTGTTCATTTTTTCCCTAATGACATTGCTGCTTTTTTGTACTAGAAAGCAATTTTTTCCTTTAATTTAATTTTATAACCTTAATATATTTTCAGTTGACCTTCCAGTGAATTTGCTACTGAATTTCAAGAGGACTTATTTTTTTTAATAAGTATTTCTGTTAGTTTTTTTAAATTCTACATACTGTTCCGTGGAAGTTCAAAACAGAGTACATATATTTTCTCTGTTGATAATCATGTACTTTTATTTATAATCATAAAATATTTGATTTTTATATAGTAAAACTAGTTACTGCTTTTCCTTTATGGTTTTTACTTATTTTGTATATATGATTTAAATTTTTTTCTTAAATGAAGTTCAAGAATTCTACTGCATTTTTTAATCAATCTTATAAAAATGTAACTCCCTCATGCCTTTAAGATATCTGTATTTGCTTGTGTATTGTCTGTGGGAAACACCTGTTTATCTTCTCCTCCGTGTAGTAAGATAATTTTTACAACTCTTCCCATTACTTCTTCATTGTTTGCAGTTTAGTTTCAATAATATTCCAAGTCCCTACATATCCATGACCTCCTTGGCCTCTGTGCTCTGTTTCGCCATCCGCCCACTCACAGGGGAGGGTCACACTGGGTAAGGTCTATGGCTTTGTGCTTTCATATGGTGATGAGCTTCTCATCTCTACTATGCTTGCTTTATTTTTCAAATGACTTCACCAGTTTGGTGATATTAATCATTTACATAAATTTCAGAGTGTGTGCCTTTCAAGTATTCCCAGATACATGGAAGATTTTGGTTAGAATTATATTTGTAGACATTATGAAGGATAACTTCATACATGCCTGAGTATGTACTGTTTCATTAAGAAACACGGAATTTACTCAGTGAGCCTTTCTGTCCTTCAATAGAATTTTTAAAATATTCTGTCTTTAGCTAATTGATTCCTCTTCAAGTCCATTCCTATAAACTATGCAGATTGTTGTTGCTGCTATTGAGAATGAGAGCTCCCCTCCATTGTCTGATTTACCCACATTATCTTAGTGAATTGAATGGGCTGATCTTTCTAAGGTGAGCATACTTCCATGTGCAAGGATCTATTTGGCTGCTAAATCTATAGGGATTAATAATACCTTTTTTCAAGCGGCTGTCTCCCTTGACTTTAGAGCTTATTCTTTTTTGCCTACCTGACTGTGTTGCCAGAAAGTTCCACTATTTGTTTAATATCAGTGGTATAAGCTATCATATCTTCTTTCTAACTTTAGTGTAAATGCTTCTGAATATTTTTTTTCTTTAGGTATGTTTCTGCAGTTTCCTGTTTTGGGTGTGGTTGCTTAAGATAAACTGCCAGTTTAAGAAAGATTCAGTTTACTAATGGCTATTCACTGCCATAGAAGAGTCCTGGTGGTGTAGTGGTTACATGTTGGATTCAAACTAAATGGTCAGTAGTTCGAGAAGACCAGCAGCTCTGCGGGAGAAAGACATGCCTTTCCACTTCCATAGTCAGTTACAGTCTCTGAAACCCACAGTGGGTCGCTCTGAGTCCACACTGACTTGATGGCAGTGAATTTGGTTTGGTTTGGTTCTTGCCATTGAGCCAATTCTGACTCACAGCGATCCTGAAGGACAGGGTAGCACTTCCTCTGTGGGTTTAGGAGACTATGCCTTTTGTTTCCCAAAGAGATAGAGAGGCTAGTGGTTTCGAACTGCTGACCTTACTGTTAGCAGCTCCCTGTGAAACCACTTTGTCACCATGGGCAGGTGATGGCTACTTAAGAGTTTCTCAATACGTTGGTATTAAACTTTAGTAAATGTTTCCATTTTTCTCTCTTGAAATAACTACATTATCATCCACCAATGTGGTACTTTTAATAGATTTTTTTTATTCATTTCTGAATCATCCTTGCCTATTAACTTTTTAAAATGAATTCGTTCACTGGGTCATATATGACAATTTTATCAGACCCATAGCATATGTTTTACTAACTTAAATTACTAACTTTTTTCTTTAAAAATTGATTCTTAAGACATTTATTATTTCTAGAAGTCATTCCAAAACCAACCAAACTAACTGCTGTTGCGTTGACACTGACTCATAGCTAGCCTTTAGGACGCATGGAAGTATTCCTTGAGTTTTCAAGGTGAACTTTTTACAGAAGTAGAAAGTCTCATCTTTCTCCCACAGAGCTGCTGGTGATTTCAAACAGCTGACCTTGCTGTTAGCAGCCCAATAATTAATCCGCTACACCATTACATAGCAGATATTTAATCAAGAAAGAACCTTCTAATGCTCTATATAGAGAAAATATGACCCAATTTACTAAGATTTCTTAAGTGTGTTCTAATCTGCAATGAAGTTTTCAAGGACTCATAACAAGCACACTTAATTTATTTTGTTCTTCCTTTCTATGTATGTTTCTAGTTTGCTAAAATTCTTTTAGGCAAATATATTATTTTCCAAAGATCATCCTAAGTTTATTTGTATTTGCTGCTTTTTTTCTTTCTGATAATTTGGAAGCTCTACAATTCTTCTGCCTGGGAAAAACAAAAGAATAAAATGAGTTAATGTTTAAATAGTGCTTACGTATACCGAGCACTCTTTTAAGCTTTTCATGTTTGTTCCCAGATTCAATGCCAACTTTTAAGAGATGCAATGGTTATCAGAGAAGGTAGGTGATTTGCCTCAGCTGTACACAAATGAGTGTCTGTAGGGTTTGTTCAGGACCAGTCCTTTTAACCAGGAGGCATATTGCTGTTTGAGTTTTGCCTCCTGTACTTTCATTTTCATGTGTATTTTGCAGTTTACGCTTTTAAATATTTTATAATTAGCACTCCTAAATATTTGAAGAGTTTGTGTTCTCTTCTTAAATTTGCAGCACCTTGTTTTCGGCATCAAGTCTTTTATCGCCTTCCTGATTCCAGATGTACCACAGGAACTGCATGAACGAATAAGACGAGAGAAGTACTTAGTCCAAGAAATGATGTATGAGGCGGAACTGGAACATTTGCAACAACAACGGAAAAAAAGTGGTCAGCCTGTGCACCATGAATGGCCTTAGTTGAAGCCTGTTACCCAGTAGAGGCAGGACCATGAGTGGGAAGGCTTGATGTCAACTTCAAATTCTATGTGTGATCTAGGAGAAAGGCAAGCCAGTCATGCAAACTCTATGTATAATATATTCTACTTGAACATGCATTATACCCTTCTCTGAGAAGTAAAAGATGGATATCAATGTTTTAAAAAGGGTTAAATGATACTGCAAGAAATCAAGATATAATTCTAGAACCAACCCCGAAGAGATTTGTGTTCGCAGACCTCCTCCTTTGGTCTGCTGCAGTGTAACCGGAAGGGTGGTGATGAGGTCTCAAGACACACCTGAGCATGCGTATTTTCCAGTCAGGCATAACTTAAAACCGGATGTGGCTTTCACTCAAAAATGAATCTAACTTCCAAACTTTGATGCAGTTGAGATACTTAAAAGAAGTGTCTTAAATCAAATATTGCCTTTGCTGTAAGAACTCCATGTCCCGTCCGCTCCAGGCTTGTAGGCACTGCCCTTGCCTCTTACTGAGAATATGAATTTGTACCACAAGAGAACTTAATGCTGCTTTACATCAACTATGCAGTTGAAGAGTTGTACATCCCCTTTAGTGCTCAGACCAAAAACCCAAGGTTCCAAAAACAGTACCATACATGCCAGTGATATTTGACTGCATTGGCTCCATCCACATGTCTCCCTTATAAGCCAGTTAGACTGCATGTATTGTTGGTTTGGTGTTGTTGTTTTTAATCAAATACTAATATAACCACATAATTATAAAATACAAGTTGTCATTCTTGTATCATTTAGGTCACAACTAATCCATACTTCACTGTGGCATGCTGTGTTATATTGTGTTTCATTTTTCCCTCTTTGACTAATTACAACAGTTTTCACAATGTTGACTTTCATTGCTGTAGATATATTTGTTTTCCTTATATGTAATGCTCTAGTACTGCTAGTGCAGCTTTGAGACCAGGCACAAGGCATGCCATTGTGACTTCCAAAGCCAGATGCTTTGCAACACCTCTGCTTTGCCAACGGTGTGCATTCTTGCTCATGCGCTAATGAAGATAATGCATGAATATGGACCTATCTTACTTATAGAAAGGCTTTTATTTTTTTTCCTTTTATATAACTTAAAGGAGATGTCTGATATTATTTGGTACATTGGTTTTGTTCATGGATTTGATACATAGCATTTTTTCCCCTAGAAACAAAGTTAAATGAATTGTTTATGATGTCATTGTTTATTTTTGTGGATGCATAAGGTTAGCAGAAATGACCCAGACTGGCATTGCTATATTAGCATTCACTCTGTCTGTACCTGTCTGCACCTGTTCACAGGGAATGGCAGGGTTTAACTCAAGCAAGTGCTGTTGAAACACACATTGTGGAGGTATATGGCAGGAAAGAGAAGAGTTGAAGTTGGGGAATGTATAATAGAAATCAAAACACATTTACTTGCAAAAAAAAGTCAAGGTAACTATCAATGGAGATGAGGGATACAAGAGAGTTGGTCAAAAAATATTGCTACTATGATTCCAGTTCATCTATGCATGGTCTTATTCCAAACAAAATCTATTTATACATGTCTTTGTATTCAGTAGATGATGGCTTCAGACACGTTCTTCAGTAACACACTTGTTTAGTCTCGTTAGGGTGCCTTCAAGAAAAATATCCAATGAAAATATTGGTTTCCAAAGAGATCTTCTGGATCAGCAGAACAGTCAGCTGCGAAAATTTTGGTGATTGTCTTTTAGAATTCCAAAGGGATCATTTAGACAGGTTTTCTTAAAGATTCAGGACAATCACAGGGGCTTATTAGAAATTTTTTTTTAATATCAAATTGCATCATTGAGAAAAAGGCCAGGAAAATTATAATTGGATCTTTTCTCCCATCACAACAATGCCCCTGAGAAACCGTACTCCAATCCACCCTACATCCTTGATTCTTCCCCTGCAGATTTCTTTTGCTCCCAGATGCAAAGATAATTGAAAACTAGCATGATTTGAAGCCCTCAAGAATGCCCAACCTATCATTGCAACATGGTGGAAATCCAAGAATGCAGACTTCCACAGGGAAGGGTTAGCTCGATGGATGCACCACCTTCAGAAGTGTGTCCACCTAGGGGGAGTTTACATTGATGTTTGTGTTGAAAAGGGCTGTGTATGACGCTATAGAAATTGTGTTTGACTCCCCTCATGTACACACAGACATACATATGCACGAGAGGGCTTCACAGCATTCATAGAAAATGGAATTAAAAGATAACGGCATTTTCCTATGTCATTTTAAAGACAGTTTTATTGACATATATTTCACATACAATCCAAAAGTTCAATCATTGTAAACAGAGTTGTGCCTTCAATTCCATGAACTTTTGGAAGCCCTCTTGCGTGGGAAACTGATGACCTTTGCCCAATTATTCAAAGCATTTTTCAAAATAAATAAGACCATGTAAAACTCAGTGGAAATAAAGAAACTTTGAATATTCCCCAATCTTTATATTAGTAGACAGATAAAATAAGTGAAAAATTAAAATAACAGTAGAAAATTGTTTTTATTTCAACAACAAAAAGGTCTTCTTTGTTTTCACTTTGCCTGTTCTTTTCCTCCATGGAAAAATCTGGTTAATTATGGGTTTGGGTTGATTTTTTTTAATTTTTTTTTTTAACATTTTATTAGGGGCTCATACAACTGTTATCCCAATCCATACACACATCAATTGTGTAAAGCGCATTTGT